TTATCTGAGCTGCTGACCTCAGGCAGGTGACTCTGGTTCACCTGGTGGAAAGTGGGGCTTACAAATTTTGCCTGTCACTTGCCCCACAGAAAGTTGAATGAGGGCATGTGCCATATATTTAGGTCCTTAAAAAAATCTGACTTGTAAATATTGAGTTATTGTTTTGCTGACCATGAATATTTCTTCTGCTGACCAAAGAGGGCCAGATATTCCATTCCAACCTCTTGTATCCCTGGCTTACCATAAAGTCCTTCTCTGTCACCTTCCAAGAGTCAAATAAAAGGAGCTTCTTCTGCCAAAGGCTGTGCCTTTAGATCTGACAGTTCTCCACCCTGATTTCTTCAGGGCTGTCCCATTTTCTCTTCTGTCTCCCATTTTCCAGTACTCACCATGAGCTGGAATATACTAAGTGGCTACTCCTGTTGGCCCCAGCAGAAATACTTCTAATACTTCACTGTAGGGTGGATCAGATTAGACATACAGTGGCCCCTAAGGTGGAATGTATTCTGGACCAGGAAGTGTGAGTAGGATGTGGGGGCATGGGTACAGCATAGTTGGGTCAACTGAAGGCAAATGGTCTGCACTGGACATAGAGACTCATGGAAAAGCAGGCTCAATTGCCCAGTGGACTCTAGCTCCCCAACCCCCTGACCCTTGGGGCTGATGGTTCTGATCAGTTTATTCTGCTCCTACCTTCTTGTTTGCATTTATTTGCTCTTAAGCTATTTTTTTTGATACTTAATGGAAATGAGTCATATTTCTGTTTGTGTGTTAGTTGGCTTTTTCATCCACAAGACCCTGTCTTCTGACCAAAATGACATTCCTTCCCATCCATCTGCCTTTTTGTTCACCTGGTCTTTAACTGGTTCCTGTCTTTCCACCTTTTTTTCTCTAAGTCCTATTCTTTGTGAAAGCAGGACTTACTGGGTTGTTTATGAATATGTACCCTGAAGTTTCTTCTTCTTCTTCTTCTTCTTTTTTTTTAGATTTTATTTATTTATTTGGCAGAGAGATAGAGAGAGAACAAGTAGGCAGAGAGGCAGGCAGAGGGAGAGGGAGAAGCAGGCTCCCCGCCGAGCAGGGAGCCCGATGCGGGGCTCGATCCCAGGACCCTGGGATTATGACCTGAGCCGAAGGCAGCCGCTTAACCGACTGAGCCACCCAGGTGCCCCAAGTTTCTTCTTTTTTAAAGAGCTTTATGGTGCCCTTAAAGTGAGCATAGATGCTGTACACAGAAGGGTTGAGTAGGATGCACTTAGAGAAAGCCAGATAATGCAAGAGAAAACTGGAACCCAGGGACATGGTCTTTGGAGGCAGAAGTCTCACCCCAGTGTTGCCATGGGAGAGGAGCACTAAAAATGAGACTTAAGGTCTATGTGGTATGAGAAGACTTGACTTACCATTTGCAAGTCAAGTGTACCCGAAGCATCCTGTAACCCAGAGGGCAGTACGGAGAAGCCCTGGGAGTAAGTGGTCTCTTGATATACAGAGTTGAGTGGAGATAATTGTTACTTTGTCTGACTTACAAAGCCTCATCTTCCCAGTAGATGGATGGTATTCTCCTTCCTGAAGAATAAACTTTAAGCTAGACTCCGTCTCCTCCTGGCTTCAGATGTAATCATGACCACTAAAACAAACAAACAAACAAAAAACCAACCTATCTTCCCCTTAGTCCAAGAGTCCCATTCTGGCCTTTGGATTTGTAGTTGATGGGGGTGGTGGGGTGGAGGGTGTGTTTTCCATGAGCCATACTTTCAGAGAAATGGCAAAAATAGTTGATGTCCTTTCATTTAAATTGTCATTGCTTTTGGAACGTATCAACAATTGTTCTTTGTCAGCAGTGGGCTATATGTTATACAAAAGGGAATCAGGTATGTTTTCTATCTAAAAAGGAAGGTACCAGTCCGCAAAGGATAACTAAAGACAATGATGAGTGGTAACATTTTAGCATTAACCATTGGTCAGGCACTAATGCTAAGGATCTTATATGCATTATCCAGTTTCATGAAACCCTGTGAGTTCAGTATTATCATACCAGAGAGGTATGAGACTTCCCCAATGTCATACAGCTAGTAAGTGGTGGAGCCCAGGATCTTAACTCCAGTCTGTCTGACTCCCAAGCACTTACCCTAACTACTGTGCAAACTGCTCTCCCACAAATGTGGCACCAAGCTTCAGAAGCCCCAGTCTTTCCATTGGAGCAAAATGGCAAGGACGCCCTTCTGAAGTGTCAATCAGAACAACTTTCCAGAAACCAGGCAGTGTTAAGACTTTGTTTATAATGTGTAATAGTATTCTATAGGTTACTTTAAGGGTGTAGTTTTCGGGTCTCCAGAGGACAATACATTTATGAGCTTCTGCCCAAGCCGTGGTTATTTGTCAGCGATGCTATTTGAAAATGTTTCCATTCTATCATTTTGCTGAACACAGGTTTAGAAAACCACAATTTAGTAAGATGGTGTGATTAGCAAAGCCCTGAGTTTGGTTGCTATGTGTCCTTCAGAGATTTGGCTTTCGGGTGCAAAATACAAAAGGAGAGGATTATTAGCAAAACCACTCCTGCCCCTGGAGAGTGAAATGTCTTCTCCACCTTGTCTCCCGTTGGAAGTGGAGATGGTGCTGAGTACCTTCTGAGGGACATCTGGAGTTTGGTTTGAGGTTCTGCAGGACATAACTCTATTAGTTCTGTATAATAAAACCATCATCTCAAGACAAGTTTCCATGAAGGACCAGTGAAATAATAGTAAAAGTGAGGGGAAAAAGTGCTCTGAATATTTTAATAAATGGTTCATCTCTTAACTTACAAGTTTCTAGAGAAGAAATACAGAGCCTTCACCTCTTTATTTCTCCCTGTGTATATGGTGACAGGCCTTGCATGGTGGGTATTCAATACATTTTTTTTTTTTGTATTCTCATTACCGTATCATTAGAGTTCTTTCATTTTTACCAAGCCATCGTTTAGAAGAATTCTCTAAAAAAGTAGAGCTTTCCTATTTTGATCTCTCAGAAGCTTCACATTTTAAAAAACTGGGACAGACAGATATATTATTTTGTTCATTGGTAAATAAAGCACATAGTATTTTCAGAGTAATACCAGTACCTTATTGACCTGCCTGTAAATGATTGCTATCTTTTTCTTATTGAGGTTTTTGCACAAATTCCTAGCCATTGGATAAAACTTAAGAAGGACTAAGATTGGTAGAAATGATCAGATCCTGAAGTATATCCTAATGTAGGAAATTGTGGTTTAGTGTTCTGTTAGATTCAATTGTCTGAAGCACATGGTATTATTATATATTATATATATACTTAACCTATGTAGCATCGTTCTGAAGAAAATAACACCAATAACAATGGCTTATGTTTATTGACTGTCTACTGTGTGCCAGACATTACGTTAGATACCTCCCACTGATTATCTCACTTAATTCTCGTAACACTTCTGTAAGATGGGTACCTATTTTACCTATGAACAAATGAAGCTACTTAACTTAAAAGTTTAAGTAACTTTCCCAGGGTGCACAGTGTCAGGGTTAGAATTTGAACTCAGTTTAATTAAACTGCAAAGTCCATGCCCTAAATTATAAAGAGAGAAATGAACATAATTTTTATCCATACTCCTACAAATGAGCATTTGTTTTTGAGAGAGCAGGCTATTATTCGACTACGTAAAGCCGTTGTAATTGCAGATGCATGGCATGCGATTCTTACCAGTCCAGATGAAAAGTAGCAATGCAGAAGAATGAGGAGAAGATGAGCAGATACTCAGCAGAGGGCTGCAGGATCTGACCATCACTTCAGAGTAGCTGGAGACTCATATGCCTAGCTCACACACACAGACCTTGCAAAGGTTGGCTTTGCTAATAGAGTACTTCATTTCTTTGCCTGACCTTGCCATTGTGTTCCACTCTCAGCCCTCAATTAAGCTGCCATTGGTAGAGGATTTATAATGTGTCCCTGGTTCATTCAAGAGACAGTGACAGAGGTGTGGCTGAAAAGCCGGACAATGAAGAACAGAGTTTCCACTTCTGTTCAAATTCGGGTGGCAACAAAACCATAGCTGACCCTCGGGACAGACCAAGACAGTCCAACTAGATGCTTATTCCAGATACTAAGTGCCTAGTACCATTTTCAGAAGGGACATTTCCTCTGAGTGACCAAGATTTGCTCACAGTTTTTCCGCATAATGGGAACACCCAAACCTTGGGAAACGATTGTGGTGTTAGTCAATGTAATGTTCCAGGAGAGAATCTGTATTTTATTCTTCCTTCAGGCTTCTAAACAATATAGTAAATTTCATAAATGAAGATTTTTAAGGAAAAGAATAGTTTCTTGACTGAAGTGAATGTCACGGTGTGGCAGTGGATCATGTGAATTTTAAGTGTTATGAACCGTATTTTGTATAGGTAGGATTATATTAATTTGTGTTTTAAATGCATAGTGAGACTGGAATGTTTTTGTTGGCGTTCAATGAATCTAAGAGAACAGTGTTGTTCCTTTACAGATGAATCTTATTACAGTTTCACAAATTTGGAAGTAAAACTCTGACTTTGAGTTAATATGGAAGAAGCCACAGGCATCCCAGTTTTAGATTACTGCTTTTATTCAGCACTAGCAATATCTTGGGTTGTGGATATAATCCTAAAAATTGAAGTTTGATCAAATGTGTTCATATGCATCTTAATTCTCTGGTTAGCCTTCTGTTATTTAGCTAATATGACAACACCTCTCAGTCCCAATTTACTCAGCATTTAGAAGGAACTGATTGGTGGTTTAAGCTCTAAAAGAAGCCTGTTTCCCCTTTTCTGTGTTTTGAATGACCTGTAGGTTTCACCAGATATTCTGGCCTGCAGATAAAACTGATGAAAGTCAGAACTGGGGTTTTCCTACCGGCGCTTATCAGTCCTCCCCTGAACCACAGTCTGTTCTTTTGAGAGCTCTAATAATTAATTTGGTCTCTTTCTTCTCCCTTCCCCCACCTTCTCCCCGTCTGTTCACAGGTTATCTTGACGAATCAAATTACAACGCATCTAAGCAGAGCCCTAGCTTCTCAGGCAGACCTGGTGTCTCCAGCTGATGATTTGTCCCTGTCTGAAGGTAAGGGATCTGTCCGAGAGGGGCCGAAACTTGACACTGACGTATAGCCCCACCGCCTCTCCTCTCTGCCTCTCTGCCCCCTGTTGCGCTGGGTGGCTGGGCTGAGAGGCCCTGGCCAGTGAACCCAGCCAGATCCTGGCGATTTAGGCTTAGCCAACTTCCCCGGCATCTGATCCCTTGTATTTGGAGAGGCTCTTGCCCTGTCGCTATAGGCCAGCTTCCTTTTTCATCCAAGTAAGTCACCTTCACGAACATCCAATCACCTCCACCTTGAAGTCTGTCACACCTCCATAGATTGGTTTTGGGTCCTTAGTATAAGGCCAATTGCAAAGTGACTTGATTTTTGAGACTGATGCTCACAGGTTGGCTTTACTGGTGGTCCCATAGCAATTCAGCCTTTTGTTTGTTGTGCTGGGTGCTTTGGGACTGGCTAAAAGTGTGCACCAGTGTCGTGGGCTGGAGATGTGGCATTCCCAGCCAGCTTTACAAAAGGGTTAAGAGAAACTCTCCATGTTGGTAAATCTGCAAAATTTTCTCCACCCTCCCATGCTAGCAAAGGTCAGGCTAGCTATGGTTTACGTAGCTAGGGGAATTACGCCACTGAGCCAGTGGGTGGTTTCTAGCTTTATTCAAAGTTCTTATGTGACATTTCTGAGTTCTGCTAGTTGTGGGCTGGATAAATGTGCATAGCTGTGACAGACCCCACTGCTCTTCCATTTTCTGAGAAGCGTTCATGAGGGAGCAGATGGGATTTGTAGGACTCAAAAGGCTCCTGACTGCCAGGTGGTCTAACGTGGATTGGCCACAGTTTACGGACTCAAAAATTGGAAGGATCACAGCCCTCCCTCTTGGTGGTGTTTTTCAGTGTGAAAAACTACTTATTTATAAAAATTGTAAAATGCTCTGTGTCCCCTATTTCCACATTCAGTGGTATGTCATCCCTCCCCCTCATCACCTGGACTGAAAACCCAAGTCATTTACTATTCCTCCCTCCCTGCACTCCTCTCATCCAGTCCTCTTGGTTCTTCTTTCCAAATATATTCTTCCTCTGCCCCCTCTTCTTTGTAATTAAAAAAAAATGTCTATGGATATTACACATTTTTTTTAAAATGTGGGCTCCACGCCCACTGTGGGGCTTGAACTCATGACTCTGAGATCAAGAGTGGCATGCTCTACCGACTGAGCCAGCCAGGTGCCTCTTCTTTGTGATTTGTGTTGTGATCAGCTGACTTATTAAACTCACAGTTGGATTATTTTTATAAATTCCAAAATGGTCTTCCCAACTCCAGCCTCTCTACCATTTCCATTCTGTCACTACCAAATGAAACTCTCTGAATCTGGCTTCCTTTTACTGTGCTACTCTCCTACTCTGAAGTCTGGGAACTGTATCAGCCCATTTTCTGAGAATGGGCCAAGATCAATAAGCTGCTTTTAAAATATTCAGGAATTTGTGGTTTGTCTGCCTGAAATCAGCCAGGGTGGAAGTATTTACACCATGGGAATCAGCACATGCTAAAAATCAGGATTTTGTGTGTGTGTGTGTGTGTGTGTGTGTGTGTGTGTGTGTGTGTGTGCGTGTGCGCTTTTCTCTTCTATTTGTGTGGATCAGTTTCCAAAACACAACTAGAGACAGTGCTTCCTCACTCCTCACTGTCTGCCCTGTCCTTCCCATTCCCCTTGGTTCTTGCCAGCGCCTTGCGGGAAGCCCCCACACCGAGCACGCCTGCCACCCCCCACGCCTGCCCCACGCTGCTGCAGAGACAGCCCGTCCTATCTAGAAGAGCATTGCCCTTTTTTACCTCCACTGCTTCCTTTCTTCCCAAATCCTCCGACTCAGTCAAGGTTTATTTAAAGACCACCTCTTCCCACAAAACCTCCTTGTTTGTTCCAGTCTGCACTAGTCTCGCTCCCTCCTCCTCCTCTGTGGCCCTTCTACCCGCTCTGCTTTATAAAGAAAAGGTCCAGGAAACTTAATTTAACTTTTCATGGTTTCCTGACTAGATTGGCAGATTTTTTTAAAGGCACAGGCTATCTTGTATTCTTTTCGTATCCTGAGTGACTAGCAAAGTTCTAGGCACATAGTAGGCAGTAAATAAATGCTAAAAGGATACCATAGTAAATACTTTGTAAACAGTAACCATGAGATTCACATAAAGCATCTCATTAAAAATTGTTGTAATTATTATATACACACACATTTATTCAGCTTTGAGGAGAAAAAAAATATCTTGTTTCCTTATTAAAAAAACCAATAAGTAATAGCACTTTGCTTTATCTTAAGCAAAGAAGAGGAGCAGAACAGATACAGAGGAAATTGTTTTTGGGACTCCAGTATAACTGCTTCCACAAAATGGTAAAGTTGTATTCATGACAAGGGGAGACTTACCAGCTCATCCTTAGACAACTTTTTAAAATTATGAAATCCTAGGGAGACTGCAAACAGTTGGTTTTTCTAGATCTTTCCTTTGCATAGCTGAGCAGGTAAAGAGGCTATAGAAATATTTTTCCTGAAGTCTATAATGAAGTTCCTTACCAGTGAACTAAAATGGACAATTTTCTTAATGCATTTATACCCATTCAAATACATTGCAACGGTTGTTAATGCCACTATGGTTAATATGTATAAATTACTTTGTTGTTTCCAGGATCCATTGTATCAACTTTGGTATTGTGTTATTAGCCCTGGGACCTTGGGCAGGTCTTTTGATGATTTTGGACCTCAAGATTGGAAATATAAGATTGCTGAAGTCTTTTCTAGCTCTCCCATTGTGAGATCATGATGTGGGTCTGAAAATCAGGAGCATTCACTAGTTGATGGGGCTTTAAAATTCTGATTTATGGAGTGGGAAGAATGGCCTTGTATTAAGCAAGATAGAAAGGATCTTCAGGAATCTTAGCATTGATACTTCGGCATACCTGTAAGAACCTCCTCGCCCCACATTGCTGTCTCCTCACTCTGTAAACGGTTCTGGTCTTGTCTGTCTGTCTCTTGCTCTCTCTACCTCTTTCCCACACGGACGTGGACACAAGAAGATGCGTGTGCAAACCAGTGAGAGTGAGAAACACACTGATGGGGTGAGCTCCAGGTCCACCCTGTTGTGTAGTAAATTTCAGCTGCAGAGCAGAGGGCACAGCTTAAACAGTGCTCCCTTGAAAACAGCTGTGGGGTGAGAACAAGCGGCCAAGAGCAGCCAGCAATAAAATGATCTGAGTTGACCTAAGGGAAATACCCAGCAGGGGCCAATTCAGGGAAATGAAGTCCCTTCTGCTCTGATGCAGAGCAGGGAATACAAGTGACCTGGCCCAAGGAGAGATCTCTTCCACCCCAGCGGATCCTGTACTATTAATATCTGCCAGCTGCAGGCCCAGAGCATCCCCCCTGCTGAGATCAAAAGAGCCCCTATCTTAGCTGGAACAAGGTCATCTTCACAGAGCTGTGCAAGCGAGCCCTGGCTGGCTGCAGGGACCTCTATGGGGGAGGAGAAGTCAGGAGATGGGGAGGTGCTCTCTCACGCTCCTTTAATCTCGGCTGACCAGCTGTTGCCCTCCCAGTGTTTGTAAAGTTGCGAGTTCTTTGTTTTTGTGTTGCTAGTTTTTTTTTTTTTCTTTCCTCCTTATTAAGTTTATGGCTGGGTTGTTGCTTGGATGATGTAGACCATGTTCACTGCTTGGGTCCCTGGTATGATTCCCTTCATTGGAGTTCCATTCCACTGTTGGATTATGCAGCTCCCAGGTAGGAGAGCCAGAGAAGAGAAAAGTGGACCCCAGAGGTCAAGGACTTTCTCCACATTGTTCCTGCCCCATAGTTTTGTGCCTTGTGAGGGAATCAGAGGGCAAATTGAATTTTCCCTAGGTTGTTGAAATAACTTCTTGTAGGCGCAGTGTGCTTGTCAGTTTTCAGCCTGCCTCTCAGAAACATTATTTCATTCAGTGGAGAGAATGGAATCTTCAAGACTTATGCAAGTTGACCAAAATTCACTGCCCTGTGAACGTAAGGGCAGAAATCCAGATTTCTGGTTTTAGAATCTACATTGTTCTTGACCAGGCACTGTGAATCAAAGTATTTTCTTCTTTATTTTTTTTGTTTTGTTGACAGAAACTCAGGCAACTAGATTATTACAAAGTTGAGTGACTGGTTATCGACTACAGTTACTGTGACTGTTCTGAGGCCAAGGGCATGTTTCTTAGATGCCCTTGCCAGTTCTTCCTGGTGGTCATCGAAAATACTAAGGATGACTAGATCTCAGTCCTAGGGAATATCTCTTTTCCCTGCAATGATCAGTAGAGAAAGGATCTAACAGTCCAGCTGGCCTAAGACTCCATACCCTGTTCTGAAGTCACCTGGGATTTGGGCAGAAGGGCCGGCTGGGCTCCTGTCCACACAAGCACAGTTGGTAGGTGAGATTGACGTACGGTGACAGTGGGCCCTGTGCAAGATTGAAGCCCTGCTCAACCTACACCACGGGCTTTCTCTCCTCTGATGATTTAATGGGATAGCAGTCACTTCAGTGTGGCGACATGGCCCATTTCAGGAGCCCCAGATGGCTTCATGGAAAGGAAGACATTATGAGGCTGCCATCCTGGCATTTCCAGCATCTGGCATGTTAGTATCCTTTTATCTGCATTAACAGTTTTTGATAGATAATAGCACTCAAAAAGTAAAAATTAAAAGTGCATGGATGGGTAAAGGAAAGAACACAAGAGAAAAAGCAGTACTTACTAGACCCAGGAGTGCTTTCTAGTTTTAGTAGTGGAAGCCTTTCTATTCCATTTGAATTGATGGCTGATTTCATGTGCAAGAGAAAGTATTTTGGGATTCATACTCCTTAACAAACCATCCCTGCAAAAAGCTGGAGTCCATTTGAAAGATTATATGCAAGTACATGGCTTGTGTCTCTTTTAAAATAAATTCAACAAGCAAGAGCAGCTCAGAATGGTTGGGGCAAATCAGGGACTCACGGTTGTGAAAGAAGCAGACTTCAAAGCGTGGTATGAATTTT